CAGGCAGGCAGGCAGGCAGGCAGGCAGGCAGGCAGGCAGGCAGGCAGGCAGGCAGACAGACAGACTATCCATAGGCACAATGTATTTACAAACTAGCCTGAAAATGATTGTTTCATCTTATTATTTAGAAACAATTTTAAAAAAGAAACAATTTAAGAGGCAAACTACATTTGGAAAGTCATCCATACTTTTGACATTTCTCTTTAAAACATATTGTTTTATCAGGCTGGGGCAAGATACCTTTTTCCACAATTTGATCACACACCCGTATGAGATGGTTATTAGCAGGATGTTTGGACTGTTAAATCATTTGATAATCCCAACAACTTACTTAGCAAAAGCACACTGCACTCAATTAGAAACAAGAAGCCTGGAGTTCTAAGTGTAAATCAAAGCAATGGACTTTAAAATTGGTAACTTGGTTTCCCCATCCGTATCACATGTACCACAGCAAAGGCCAAGCTAGAGGTAGCACCAAGCGGAAGCCAGTGCTAAGTCTCAAATTCAAAGAGTGAGCCCGTAACAGCACTCTTCCCAACTTGTACAACATGGAGACACATCTGCACCCAAACAGCCCTGCTGGCTATTTGGGGGTTCCCCACCCCCTTTTAAGATTGTTGAGAAGCTTATTTTACTCTGATTTTTGACAATAAAAGTGTCTAGAAAAGAGACAGGAAGAACAGATTATAGTCAGGCTGACCCATGTCAATATCCCTAATTTGCCCTATAAGAGAAAAAGAGAAAAAAAAAATTATTTTTACAGAGGAAAGGGGCTACTTGATAACAGTGTCATCTTATACCTTCTGGGGCACTCACCTAAACCACCTGATACTTCCTCTTCAATATCAGGGCTCTCAGGCCCAGGAACATAAAGGTCAGCAACAGAAACTAGTAATAAAACCAAACATCAGGAAAGGAAATCACCCTAAAACATATTTATCTTTATTTTCTAGTTTTTACGATAAACACATGTATTTAGAAAACAGTTTCTAAAAATTTGTTGACAGAAGACACAAGGTGGTATAAAATACATTGTTAAGTGCTTTAAAATATATATATATATACACACAAATTAAAGTACATTCGATATTAGTCAACAAGAAAGGGTAGAAGGATAAGTTATTATAGATAAATTATCAAGACAACTTTTAATGATCTAGATTTACAGAACAGATTTCTGGTAAAGTCCATTCAATAATTGCTTTTTCAAACAGGAAAGGATGTCTAAGTACACCAAAAGCAATTCCATTTCAGAACATTTTTGTACAGTCTTTTTTATATTGGTTTTTTTTTTTTTTTTGGTACCGGAGATCAAACTCGGGGCCTTGTGCTTGCAAGGCAGGCGCCGGAACCACTGGGCTAAATCCCTGGCCCTTTATATTGTTAGATAAATATTGCTACCTACTGAAAATATGGAAATGATTTTATGTTTTATAATAATTTAGATTGTATAACTACTAGATATCCAAAATAGAATTATACAACATACAAAATTTTGCTTTGCTATTTTTCTAGGAGAGTATGTACAAAAATGTGAATACAAAAAGATTCCTCCACAGTAATTCAGATGTAACACTTACAAAATATCATAGGAAAACAATATCTTTTATATACCTCACTAACAATTTAAAACATACCCGGCTCTTTGGATGTAGCTCCTTTTGTCTTTGATTCTTCAGACACTCTTAACTGAGTAAAACATTTTCTTTCCACAGACTTTTCTATAGCTATCTGAAAAGTTAAAAACAAAAACTATTTTTTAAATTGTTTCATTATATTAGAAAGTTGAAGATAACTTGAGAAAGGTTTCTTCATTTTCTAAAACATTCCATACAACAAGCATATGACATTAATATTTTCCCTATAAATATTTTCAAAAGAAAATATCTCTTACCTTTTGTCTGGATAAAATAGGACTGTAGAAAAAAAGAGAGAAAGAAAAAATTTGTAAGAAGTACAGCATGCTTCCAAGCAAATGTCACTGAAATGGCTATGAAAAACTACAGCTTCTCTGGATTCTAATATTAGCACAGAACATTTCCATGGCTGAAACATTACTACTGGCTAACATAGTTCAAAGTGCAGCTATCATGTGTTAATCTCCTTAAAATCTAATTATAATTGAAAACACCCAAAGAAGCTACAAATACTAAAAGCCAGAAGTAAAAACAAAGAAGGTTAACCTTTTGCTAATAAGGTATTTAAAGACTATTTACACATTTTTTTTTTTAATTTCAGTCTAGGTGGTAGTATAAAACAGATTATGGCAGAAGATAATTTTGTTGAAATTATCCATTGAAACAGATTGCCAGAAAAGTACCCTTTTTTTTCTTTCTTTTTTATTTTTGGTTCGGGGGATGGAACTCGGGACCTTGTGCTTGAGGCAGGTGGCGGCACCACTGAGCTAAATCCCCGGCCCAGAAAAGTAACTTTTGAATATTAAATTTTAGGGGATACTCTACAGGATGAATATATTCAACAAAGGCATGAGGAAAAATATGTATATCCACTTTATTATTTAAAATATTGAAAGTCTAGGGACAACTCAAATGTCTATTAAAAACAGAATGGACAAATGAATTGCTGCAGTCACACAATAAGTCCGTATTGCAATAATGCACAGCAAACTTCCATTACACACAACAGCATGTAACACACATACACAAGAAGCTAATGCAACAATCAATGCTGTACATGAAATTACAGAACTGGAGAAGAGTAGCTAGGCAACCGAGAGCGGTGATCATGGTGGGCCAGGGGTGAGAGCCTTCTGAGCGGCTAGAATGTCCTGTGCCTTGGATCTTGTCAGTGACAGGCATATGGACACATACAGCTAGGGAAAAATTCCTCAAGCTTTTACACTGAACCATATTTATAACAAGAAAATATCTTTAAATATTAGAATTTTTTGTTTTGTTTTGTGGTACCAAGGATTGAACTCAGGGCCCTTGTGCTTGCCAGGCAGGTGCAGCGTCACTGAGCTACATTCCCAGCAATATTATAAAGTTTTATGAACAATAATTTGAGATAATTATCTAAAGCTACTATGATCATCTTATGTTCAATAAATATTAAATACTTAAAACATGCTAAGAAGTTATTAATTCCAGAGGAAAGGCAAGAAAAGTATCTATATTATTTTAAAAGTTTAATGATTCTATTTTAAAATGCTATGAAGTTGAAAGTTAATCTACTTAGCACGTTAAGGAATTAGGTTATAATTCAGAATCTCTGAAACTACTACTTTAAAAGTTCAAACTCACTAACACAAGAAAACTGTCATCAGGAGACTTGAATGAACATTCACCTGGGGACCTAGAATCTTTCTTCAAAGGCCATCTCCAAAACAATGAGATCCCCAAGAAAGTTCTCTATCTTCTGCATTAGCTAAATAACAATTATTTGTAACTGTTTCACTATTAACACATAATGCTTTAGTTTTCATGTTTGTGACAGAAAAAGAGAAAAAGCTATCAAAGACCAATCTTTTAGCTTCTGTATTGAGGAATAATTGTCTAAACCCCAGTAATCTGTACTAATTTAAATATTGTCACAACCCTCACATTAAGAAACATGGGTCTTCAAAGAAAGACTTTTTAAAAACACTAAGTGTGTTGTTACCACTATAATTCAGTTTTAAAAGTCCAATTCCTTGATACACGTGAAACGATTGAAATTTAACTGGTAAATGTAGCTTTCCTTCTGAAGTGTTCTGGTTAAATATGGTACTACATTTACTTCCCAGAATTAGATTACTCTTTAAAATGGTTTTTTTCTATAACATACAAATATTGGCAAGCTGGTAGAAAAAGTCTTAATACACAGTTTAACCCATCTGAATCACCTAGTTTCTTAACTAAAATGATACTGAAATTAGAAGTTGTATTTTAAAATCTCTAATCAGAAGGATCCCTTGAATTTATGTAAAGCTGAACTTTTACTGAATTCACTGTAGGAAAGAGAAAAGCTAAGAAAGGAACTCCATACTTCTTTATACCCATTTTAATTTCTCCAGCTGAAAATATCAAAAAACCAAAGAAATGGATCTTGTATTTCAATACTCAATATAATCCTTCAATATTCTACTCCAACTCACTGTAACTAAAATCTGACATACTTACTCTTGATGTGTTGAGCAAAATTTAGCAAGCTGTTCAAAATCTTCACCATTAAATCCTTTTTCTGAATTCCTTAGAGGCGTAACTGTATGAGGTTGTACAGTTTTCCATTTTGCTTCTAAATTTAAAATATTTGTTAGTCACTAGCTCTTACAAAGCACATTTAGAAAGGAAAAAACAGTTAACTGGTGACATTGATAAAAAGTAATATGCAAAGTTATCTTTTCAAACAACCCAAAAGTTAACACAATTAGAAATAGCTAAGCGATTACTTTGCAGTATAAGTAAATTTCATAGAGACTAAATTAGCCAGTAGGGCATGCAGTGTGAACAGAAGAAATGCAAATAACTGCAAGTGTTCGTTCTTGGCGCTGATAGGAGGAGCAAAATACAAAGAGAAAAGAATTTTCTCAGAGCAAAATAGACCTGTGACAAAAATGCTACATTCTTTGCAACACTTCCACCCCCACCCCTGTAATGCTGGGACTCAAACCCAGGGCCTCATGCATGACAGGTACATGCTCTACCCTGAACTACACATCCAGCCCCATACTTTGCCATGTTAATGTGATGGTGGAAACCTATTTTCTAACAAAACTGGGTCAAATATTTTAAATTTCTAGATAGCAATTTGTTAGATTACTGATAGTTCTATATTGTGTTAGTCTGTACTCACCCCACTGTTCTTGAATGGCAGAAAGATTTGCCAGCAACTGCTTATGATACAATCGTTCAAGCTGAATAAATTTCATTGCTTTCTCATCTGAATAGATAATTTGAGGAAAACAAAAGTCCAGACTCTGACATTAAATCCCATGTTCGAAAAGTAATGTCATATAGAAAGTGAGAAACATGCAACTGATCAAAAAATGAGGTGACTTGGGGCCAGGGATTTAGCTCAGTGGTTCTGCCACCTGCCTCGCAAGTAGGTCCCAAGTTTGAACCCCAGCACACCCACCACCAAAAATGAAGTGACTCTAAATTCTTTTAAACTTCAATATATCTAAAGTAATGTTTCTTGGTTTTGAAGTAGATAATCTTCATTGCAGCATGTTCTTGCAGCAGGTATTTGGGTTCTATGCCACCCAGCAAACACAAATTAAAAGGTTTTAATGTTCAAAGAATGCTTGTTTGCTAGTATAGTTCTAGCAGAGTCAACTAAAAGGCATTTAAATGGAAACAGGACTACAAGGAATCTTGGAGTCTATGTGTTATCCTTTTTTTATTTCTCTTCTTAAAAGATTTTCTGCCAAACAACTATGTGATTGTCTATGCAAGTGTTTGTTCCTGGTTTCAATACACCTCGATCCTTATTTCCCACTGAATGTTTTTTTCCCATAAGACCAAAGGATCACCTACCTGAACAATGACAAAGCAAAAGTTACATAGATCTTTTGAAAAAAGTTAATTAACTTGCCACAGTGACTTTTCTAATTATGTGACTCCACTTTGCTGCAGCTCTTCCTATGAAGTTTTGTCTTCCCATCTGAATCACACATATGTGCACCTTAGGTCAAAATACACTGTCCAACTGGCTACCTTCCTCTGGGCAATGTTCTAAATGTTGACCCAGAAAAAAAAGAGGAGAAAAACTCACAGGTTAGCTTTTTGTTTTTCCCACACTCAGAGGTCAGCTCTCCCTCTCATACTTGAAGTCTTACAGACATCTCTGGGATCATAAAATAGGTCCAGGAAAAGTAGGAACAATTCCTTTCTCCTCTGCCCACGACAAAAATACCAGTGTTTCTCAGGCTTTAGAGAACATACAAATTATCTGAAAAACTTGTGACAACAGATTCATGGATCTGCCCTCCTCTTCCCTGCAAGGTCTGATTCTGAGGCCTGTGAACTCGCATTTCTAAGATTCTGGTACTGCTGGTCTACACTGCACTCTATCAGATACAAATTGTTTTGTTAAGAAAAAGGGACAGTTCTTCCTTCAATTCCACCAGAATTAGATTTCCACAACTGCTGTTAGAAACAAACTACCACTGTCTGAAGTTGTACGCTTATTTCCTTGACAGGGTTCAGTATAGCAACTGCTTATCCTCCATCTGGTCAGAACTGTGGTGGAAGTTAACAAGGTTAGAAAGAAAAGTAAATTACTTTAATGGGGAAAAACAGATGCTGAGGACACCTTCCATCTACAGAATACAGTGGTACTTTAATACTTGACATGAATTGGTTCGGGGGTGCTCAAGAAGTACCCAAATAATGACTGTCAAAGAAATTGTTTTGGCTAGAAAGGGTAGCAAGTCACAAGGCAATCGACAATGACAAGTTCTAGCTTGGTGTCAAGTACCAGCACAAAATTTTCAAACCAAAATGGATCACATACCAAATTCCACGAGTTTCAAAGTGGTCAAGTATGACAGTATATACTGGGCTAATCCCCTAAAATAAAAGCAATTTTAAAAAGGAAAATTGAAAAAAGTGAGAAAACCATTCCCTATATGAAAGTTAATATGTGGCCTCATTCAAAAATATTTACTGTATTCAGTTTATTATTAATGAAGAATTAATCTTTCCCTTCTAGCTATATATAGTCACATGCCACATAATGACACGTGGTCAATGATGAAACATGTAGGACACTGCGCCCATGAGACTACATCACGTAAAGATGCAGTATCTGTCTTAGCATAATGTTTGTACAATGACAAAATGACCTAACAATGTATTTCTTAGACTATATCCTCATTCTTAAGCAATACTTTTATGTAGCTAGGATAAGATAGCCATAAAATTTACTGTGTAGTATATGTGACTTACTCTAAACTTGTGTGTCTGCTTAATTTAAGACAAAGATAATTGTATAGATTTATATATTTTATCTTTCAGCAACATTTGCTCCCCTCCACTCAGAAATATTTAATTTTGGTAAAATTAGGACTTATTTATGGAAGGTCAAATTTGGGTGGTTCCAGAAAAATTTCTGGAATAACAGATATTTCTTGCGTCTTGCTTTCTGGTGTAGTTATATGTGTACAAACAACTATTAAAACTCACTGAGCCCATATGGTCTGCATATTTTATTATATAAACCTTAATTTTAAACAATGGATTATTCTCTAAGAGTAGTATGAATTTCTTCCTACACTTAAGAAAAGGATACAGTCTTCTTCCTGGAAATATGATTCTGCTATCTGTAAGAAAACAAACAGAGGATATTAAATTACTATTTGGGTAAAATAACAAATTTTCAAGAAATCCAGATCTTAACTCTGAATCTTTCTGATATTAAAGTAAGAAAACACTTATTAACTAAACTCATCAGTTCAGAAGAACTTTGTGGGCACAGGATATGATTCTAAAGTCTTCCTCACTTCAAGCAAAGCAAGCATAGGCATTCTCTGGAATTGCACAACTTCGTTCTTTCTATTCCAACTTCAAGTCACAGCAAACTTTTCTCATTCATTAGAGTTTGGCATCAAGAACTCTAAAAGAATGAGAAAAATGCTACAGAGGATTACAAAGCTATAACATGAGTAAAAAGATTATTCTCCCTATTTTAAATCAAAACACAGAAACATGTCATGGCATTTAGGACCTTTACATCCCCTTCATTTCATTCCTTGTTCACAAGCTGCCAGCTGAAAACCTCATGGGACACTGTGCTTTTGGTTCTGTTTGATATTTTTAAAAATGATCAGGCCAAATGCTAACGGTTGAATAATGATGTTTGGAATATGCAGAGTGTTGCACATTATAAAGAACACCAGATAAAGAGTACAGACTCAAGGACCCCAGTGCCCAGGAGTAGAGCTGCCCCAGCACAGAGGAGGTGAAACTTCCAGGCTGCCATACCACCACCCCCAGCAGCGAGGAGGTGAGCCACGTGGGCACCAGCAGCATACATCCCCTCCCCGCCACTGAAATGAGAAGGCACGTAAACAAGTTTCAAAACCAGACTTCGAGATCACCTAGAGCAACCCCAAACGGAAACAAGATGGAACACTGATACTCAACCACCTGGACTCTCTGAACCGGCAACAAAAGAGGAAATGGAAAAAATGAAATCAGAAATAGTTTCTCAGGGCCAGGAATTTAGCTCAGTGGATTCGTCACCTGCTGCACAAGCCCAAGGACCAGAGTTAGATCCCTGGTACCAAAAAAAAAAAAAAAAGAAATAATTTCTCAGATAACAGCAGAGATTGTGCCTATAGTCCAAGACATTTTTAATAAATCTACAGAAGACACAAATAAAAAATAAAGGAGCTGAGGAACATGACGGAATCCCAACATAGGAAACAAATGGAATCCATAAAACAGATGCAAACAGATTTCTAGGAGATTAAAAACTCCACTGAAAGTTTATGCAACAGAATGAGTGAGGACAGAATCTCAGATATAGAAGATAAGACTGCAATTAGTGACCAGGAAAAGAAAAATTTCTTTAAAATTGTAAGGGAAGAGGGAAGGTGGTGAGGCAAGATGGCGGCAACCAAGAGGAAGCAGCGTGTGGACTTGGCGATTTCAACGAAGCCAAAAAGAAACAAAAAAGATGCCAAGCCTCTAGCTAAGTCATTGGCTGTGCCAGAAGAGATAGAGGAAGCAGAGAAGGACTGTATCCCAGGGCCCGTTTGCAAGGGCAAGTGGAAAAACAGGAACAGATTCTCATCTTTTCTTCCAGAGGAATGAATTTCAGAACAAGACATTTAATGCAAGACTTGAGAACATTGATGCCTCATTCTAAAGCAGATACTAAAATGGATTGTAAAGATAAATTATTTGTGATTAATGAGGTCTGTGACATGAAAAACTGCAATAAATGCATTTATTTTGAAGATAAGAAAAAACAAGATCTTTATATTTGGCTTTCGAATTCACCTCGTGGGCCCTCTACCAAATTCCTTGTTCAAAATATTCATACCCTAGCACAACTGAAGATGACTGGAAACTGTTTGAAAGGTTCTCTGCTGATTTTGCCTTTTGACCCTGCTTTTGATGAAGTGCCACATTATGCTTTGTTAAAAGAACTCTTAATTCAGATTTTTAGTACGCCACAATATCATCCCAAAAGCCAGCCATTTGTGGACCATGTATTTACTTTCACCATTTTGGATGATAGGATATGGTTTTGGAACTTTCAGGTCATAGATGAAGATGCTCAACTGTTTTGGAGGACCAACTTTATATGAAAATCCTCACTACCAGTCACGAAACATGCATCAGCGTATCATAAGATCCATCACAGCTACAAAATACAAAGAAAAACAGCAAGTAAAAAATGTGCAGAAACTGAGAAAGAAAGCCAAAGACTGTTCTTCCACTCAATCCCACTGAAGATGTTTTTGTTACACCAGCTGAGGAAAAACCAATAGAAATACAGTGGGTAAAGCCAGAGCCAAAATTCGATTTGAAAGCAAGGAAAAAAAGGATTTACAAAAGGCAAAGAAAACTGAAACAGAAGAACAGTGGAAATGTAAAAGGAATCAATGGATAACTAAGTTTTCCAAATACTGTATATTTATTTTGTATTCAATGTGTAAATACATCTATTATCCTGGACTACTTTATGTTTAATTAGTGTGCCATTTGAAAGAAAAAAAAATCTTAAAATCAGTGGTGTTTTTCTTTTTCTAAGAAAAGCACTGTATCACAAAAAAAAAAAAAAAAAAAGTAAGGGAACATGAGAAATCAATCCAGCAGTTGCTACACAATGCAAAGAAGAATAACATAAGACTGATGGACTGATGAGAGTTAGTGAAGAAACAGGAGAGAGTGCAGACAACATAAAAAACTCTTCACAGAAGTGATGGCAGAAAACTTCCCAAGCATGCGAAAAGAACTTGACATACAGATAAGTGAGGCATATAGGACTCCAAATAGCCTTGATCAAAAAA